TATGAAAAACAAAACAATGTTAGAAATTTAGAGGCTATATGTATTTTTTTTGTTTTTTTTAGGTAACCATTTTAAAAAAATCTGCCAAAAATAGGCATTTTTCTTTGATATTTTGAAAAATTTAAGGCAAAAACCTAAAAAGCTATATATTTCATGTCATTTAATCATAACTTGATTACTTCTGAAATGTTTGCACTTCTTTTTATTGAAAACGGCATAATTTTTTTTTCTAAAATTTACCTTAATAAGATATATACTCGTTTTGCATAAAATCGGCGGCCATATTGGACGCCATCTTGGATTCTGAAGCGTTGTGAAAGCAAAATTTTGTAAGATTTGTATTTTTATAAAGGAGAGACTATATACTTACTCTGGTGTAAGTTTCAGATTTGGACAAAAATTTTGATTAAATGGCCCTCGGCTCTTAGGCTGGATTTATTTCTGTTCTCATATATGACATAGGGATTTATAAACACCATTAAGAAATTTGTTACCAATTGTAATTGTGTTTTTATGTTGGTTTGTTTTGTTTGTAATAAAATTGTGTTTTAGGCGGATATGGTGGAATTTTTGAAAAACTCATTTTTGCCCCCCAAAATCTTTGCAAATAACTGATTTTGCTTTAATAGCGAGTAAGTGACCCAGTGTTGTCAATGACAGCTTGGCACTGTTGTTGCATACTCGCCATCAGGTTTCTTAGGACGGCTTGTGGGATGGTATTCCACTCATCGACAAGGGCGGCACCAAGCTCCTGTGTGCTTCTTAGCTGGACCTGACGGGCTGAAATACGGACCTGTAGCTCATTCCATACATGCTCAATGGGATTAGGATCCGGGGATCGGGCCGGCCAGTCCAAACGAGTAATGCTCTGTTTTTCCAAGTACTCTTGGATGACATTGACTGTATGGTGGTGGACATTATCATCCATCAAAATGAATCCATTACCAATTGCACCAGCATACAAACTCACCTGGGTGTTGAGGACCTCATCTCAATACCACTGAGCAGTCAATGTGCCTCTGTCGAGGACAATGAGGTCAGTATGTCCATCCCAGCTGATTCCACCCCAGACCATTATTGATCCGCCGCCATAGCGTGTATGGAACCGTTCCCCTGACCTTCGCCATACTCTAGCACGCCTATCTGTGTAGTCCAGGCGTCGGTGAAGAGGGCAGGCCGCCAGTCCATCCTTGATCGCAGACCATTTTCATGCAAACGTGTATGTATGGTTTGTGTTGACAAACGCACTCCTGAAGCATTTTGAAGATCAGAACTAAGTTTGGTTGCAGTTCCAAAATTATTACTATTATATATACCAAACTTCTTAAGCACTTTTTTCATGCACATTGACACGTTCAAAAGTACTGTACAGTATAACAAAATAAATGATACAACATTTAAAAAAACCCAAAAAAACAAACAAATTAAAACATCAATATTGCTTAAGTCACAAATTCAAATCAAATGTAGTTTAAAAAGTTAAAAAGACCCACATAAATAAAATACAGGTAAGAACCTAAAAAATAATCAGTCCAAATAAAACCTCTTAAATAAATGAGTTTTAAGTGTTCTCTTAAACACTGTTAGAGTTTTCCAGCTTTTAAGTGTTCTGGGTAGGGCATTCCAGAGTTTATGGGCTGAGACCAAAGACTGTATGTAACAAGAGCCACCGCCGAGCGGGGGAAACGCTCGACTTTTTCCTTGTTCTAAAAGCAAACAAAGAAATGTTTGAACAAATCTTTTTATAAATTTAATCAGTCCGTCTTGTCACATTAGTTTTGTCTATGTCTATATATTTTGAATATATGCATTTATATTATACGTATTTATATATATACACGCATATATATATATATATATATATATATATATATTTACACGCATTTATATATATACGCATATATATATATATATACAAATATATATATATATGCGTATATATATATATATATATGCATTTATATATATATACGCATCTATATATATATATATATATATATATATATATATATATATATATATATATATAATCAAAAACGCTATTTTAAATTTGCCGTACCTTATTGCAGTTTTATTGTAAGCGTTGCGAACGTTATATTTATGTTGGAGAAACAGGGGATACGTTGTACCAAAGACACCTTCTAAATTTATCCAGAATACGAACCAAGTACAACGATCCGTTAGCTGCGCATTTTTACACGAACGACCACACAGTTAATGATTTTTCGATAATGGGACTGGAAAAGCTATACGGGAATGACCAATACAGAAAAACAATTGAAAATTGTGGAAAAATAAATTAAGAACCTATAGATACTAAAGAATAACGTGTCAGACGGCAAACAACGCCAGACGGCAAACAACGCCACGGCGGGCGTCGTTCATTGACGTTACGTCACTTCCATTGTTTTGTTTGATATATAGAGGATATTGAATGAGTGTAGTTTAATACTAAATTTATTGAACGAGTTGAATAAAATCATATTATGCGAGCCTCTGGCGAGCATAATATTGTTTTATTCAACGAGTTCAATAAATTTAGTATTAAATCTACACAAATATAATATTCTATTTATCACATATATAAAATAAGAACAGTAAACTGTTAAAATGAGTAATTTTTCAATGACGCGCCTATATAGTGTAACACTAACATTAGCGCGCTTTAATGCTATGTTTCTATATAGCGCAAATGACGTCACGTCAAAGTGTTATTACACTAGTGTAATATCGTTTTTATTAAATGGCTTTATTACACTCCTGCGCCAGGGTTTATGTGATAAATATATATATAAGTAAAATCTCTAACTTGCCGTATATAATCAAAAACGCTATTTTAAATTTGCCGTAGCTTTCGGCCTTGCGGCCTTCTTCAGCAGCATTTATTTTACATACAAATATATCAAACAAAACAATGAAAGTGATATATATATATATTTAATGCACAAATCTGTGAAAATTCAGTAATTTAACCTTCAAGGTCATTAGAGAGTCCAAATCAATTTGAGTTTGATAAACATGAAGGTCTTGTCCTTATGAATGTTCTGTTATAATATGAAGTCGGTCCATTCATTAATAGGAAAGTTACAGCCAGTTACAGCCAAAAAAATGAAAATTTCAATAATTTGGCCTTCAAAGTCAAGGTCATTTATGAGTGAAGGTCAAGGTCTGTCTGGTTATTTTAAGGGTTATCCTTGAAGATTATTATGTTCAAGTTTGAAGACAATCCATTCAAAAATAACAAAGGTACAGTCGATAATAGCAAGAACAAGCAAAAAATTTGGACTTTTGACCTTGAGGGTCAAGGTCATTTATGGATGAAGGTCAAGGTTAGTGTGGTCTACTGAAAGGTCTAGTCCCAAGGGTTGTTTTGGCCAAGTATGAAGACAATACACCAAAAATAAACAAGAAACATGGCAATGCCACGAAACCAGGTTTTCAATTATCACCATTGTAGATAAATATGTTGTATTTGAAATACAAATACAAGCAACAAACAATGTAACTATGTGCAATGTAAAACATGAATAATGTAGGAGGAATTGCCACAGAAGAAGTGTTCACTATATATTCTGTATAAGGAAAAAAAATAAAGGGCCATAATTAGGTCAAAAATTATCCAATCACTAAAAGCCGACAATATGCGCCGGGGCACTTGATAACAAAGCTTCTGAGAAAGTTTGGTCAAAATCCGTTGAGAAATGTAGGAGGAGTTGCGCACGAAAGAAATTGTTTACTATATATTCTATATAAGGAAAAAAACCCAAAGGGCCAAAATTAGGTCAAATATTATCCAATCACAAAACCCCGACAATATGCGCCAGGGCACTTGATGACAAAGCTTCTGTGAAAGTTTGGTCAAAATCAGTTGAGAAATGTAGGAGTTCAGCACAAGAAATTGTTCACTATATAAATTATTCTATATAAGGAAAAAAAACAAAGGGCCATAATTCGGTCAAATATTATCCAACAATATGCGCCAGGGCACTTGATGACAAAGCTTCTGTGAAAGTTTGGTCAAAATCCGTTGAGAAATGTAGAAGGAGTTGCGCACAGAAGAAATTATTCACGCCCGCCCACGGACATACCTCAATCTAATAACCAGTTTTTTCCTACGGAAAACCTGGTTAAAAAGTTATGATCCAGGTACAAGTTTGCGGACGGCAACGGCACCGGCGACTATAACAATACCTCTACTTTTTTTTTCAAAAAAAGTCGAGCTAAAAATTAAATTCAGATAAACAGACTCGATAATTGTTTACCTTTAAATATCCTTATTACAATCTTTTATTACTTTGTATTTACTAGTAAAAAGAGCAAAATAAACACCAATAAATTGCTCCTATTCTAAAAAATCCTATTTCAAGTAATATTGTTAGTACCATAAAAAGTTGTTATTTACTTTGGTATAAATTGAACAGAGGTGTGAAAGGCAACAAAAGACTGGTGTGTCTTAAATGAAAGATGATTGCATTGTATTACAGTTGACTGGTTACTAAACAATAAGATATGACATTAATATATGTTGTAAAAATGTAATGTTAACTTTAAAGTAAATAATGACTTTATTTCTTTGCAGAATGACGTTTGCAATTATTTTGTTTGAGACTGTGTATTTATTCAAACTTTGATGAATATATAAAAGTAATGGTACCGATACTTAATTACTTCCTAAAATAAAGTACTGGTACTGCAGTACCGAGCTAAAATCTAGTACTGGTAATGGTACTGCATAACTTGGCAAGTACTGGTACTGGTACTTAAGTACTAAACCCTTAGTACTGATGCTGCTCTGATTGTAACACATTAATCACATATTGTATGTTTGCTTTACATACAGTGCTTGTAGACAATATACTATGTATAAGTCTTACTAGCTAAATTGTAACAGATAATTTTTGCCTTGTCTGAGGATTTCAGCAACCCCCTAGTTGCTCTCCCTGTTGAGCTATATGGACTGCTAGAAATACTAATCTATAAACAAATTAAAACAAACTTAATATTGTTAAGGTAAGTTTATTATTCTCTTTCTTGGCAAGTAATTTCATTCTTACTTTTAAACACAAAACAACTGGAATAATGCAGTTTTACCTGCCATCTCTTCAATAATTCATCTACTAAATAATTATGCATAAATGCGCCAGAAAAAAATATATTATATATAATACTTTATAACAATCATCATTTTGTACAATACAATTTTTTTGGGAACCAGTCTAAATAACTGAATAACAAATTTAATACACAAACATTACTGGAATGTATCTAGAGTAACAAACGTCAAGAAAATATCTAAATAGTCATTAGTTAAAAATAATGTATTCTTTTTTAAAATGTATGTGGGTTTATATTTATACAGTATTCACAAATTATGTTTGTAAGTGGATAAATATTTTCATTTAGCAATCCATTTTGTTTTCAAAGCGTTTCTGGCACTTTGTGCAAAGATTTTTCTTTGCAACATGTTTTTACAACTGGAAAAGAGCATGTAAAAATGTCTCTTAAAGGTGAATAAAATAAAGACAAAATACAAATTAAAAGTTTAAAGGGAGAGAAAGTAAAAAATTTAATTCCTTCGCTAAAAATATGAACTTAAAAACATTTTTCATTTAACATAACGACATTTATCATAGATCATATAAAAACCAACAGAAATATTAATTTCTTCCTCTTTTTAACATTGACAATAATTATATTTTAACTATTAGTTGTACTTAATCACCATGCAAAAACTAACACAATTTAATCTTACATGTTTCTAAAATTATGTTATTATACCATTCAGTAAAGTTTTGAGTGACTGAACAAGGAAAAGAAAAATATATGTTTTTATCAAATGTCTAACTATACTGGCCAGTTTAAAGTGCATTATAATCTAATCATATTTACATGTATCATGGTGTTATACTGACATGTCCTGTCTATAATAATGTGCCTGCACATTTGGTTTGAAATGAAAACAAAACAACCAGTCAAATTGTTTAACTGATATCCCATTGTAATATGATACCAATCTTCTAAGATTAAGAAATGGCAAAAATATATGGATGGATAATGATGGCAATTGGTGAGCGTCATTTTCCTATTGACATACTTGTCATTTTCATACACTCAGTCCTAAATTATGGAGATAGATTGACAAAGATGTTACACCATTTCAATATCACCATGTTGATTCAACTGTCTGAAGATTACATGCTTCAGGTGAGCATTACAAGATATAATTTGTATAACTGTGAATTTATTTAAAGTGTATAAAGCTATAAATCTGCTGCAAAAATCTATGTTTGAATTTTGAAAAAAAAATACTTCCAAAATACTTGTACGAAATAAAAACGAATTGCACTTGCACAAACCATTGCTAAACGGATAAAACCCCACTAAAATTAGCAAAATAATATTTTGTTCCGGAACATTTTATTCTGTTTATGTACATTATCCATGTGTATTAAATATCAGAGACATTCTATGTTACAACTTTTTCGGGAATCAACCATTTAATAATGGAACCAACATAATTTTACTGTTTATAAATTTTATAAAAATATTTCATGCATATAGATTTATACCCTTTAAATATGTTATTTAAAATTAACAAACAGATCTGTAAAGGATAACATACTTTCCTGATTACAAATAGTAAAATAAAAACAGGATACAGATAATGATTCAGAAACAAATATTCAGCAAATCAAATAGAATCTATTAAAAGTCAAAACTGATTTTTTAAATAATAAGAATTTCTTTTTAAAAATTCTAGATGACTTTATCTATGATAATAAAAACAGAAATAAAGTGGTTACTTAAATGAATTTATACTTCAAATAATTGCTTTAGTAGACAAATAATTATAAATTGGCCCTGTACAGTTTTAATCAAGGCAAAAAACAATTACAAGTGAAACACAATGTTTTATAAAACAATATATATGACTCATTATTATCTTATTCATTCTAACAAAGAACAATTCAGCCAAAACAAAAACATGTGTAATTTTTGTCAATTAACTGTCAAAACACTCAAATGACATTTCCTTGAAGGGAAGTTTTTGTGCATAATTTCTATCAGTTTATAACTGTCTTATTTTTTACAGGAACTCAGATTGTTAATGTATAAGTCTATTTGTCAAGGAAAATGTGGAAATGTTTTATGTTTATTTCACTTTATTCTGTTATCCTATTTTTGTCTAATCAAATCTATTACATCACAAAATCTATGGTTGAACAAGTTAATGACTAAACTTATAATATATATGAACAAAGCTTCAATTTTACACTTTTGTCAAAAATTATTAAAATGCACTGGAAAGTGAGAAGTAACAGTTCAAACTGGAGTGTTCTCCCTTCCCCCAAAAAACACTGTATTCAGTAGTCTCCATATACATTAAAATTATAAATGAAAAATTATTGTAAAATATACAATCTTTTGCCTCACAAATTATGTAGAATTTTGTTAGATCCTTAAAATTCTCCTTTTTTTGCACTTACGTTATTCAGTTACTTCATTACTAAGTAAGTTTGTTTCAAAAATTTATTCTTGAAACACTAATTTCTTCCTCACATACTTTGTTTTATTTCAAGGTGTATAAAATCACATTCTACAAGAAATTTTCAATGATAAAATCACTATTATAATAAATGCATGAAGTGAATAAAATTCCAAAGTAAACATGGACTAACAACTTCTGACAAGTCCATCATAAAATCACAACCATAAACATTTTCTGGAATGCTCTTAGTCATCATTAAAGAAATGGCTTATTTCAGCATACACACTATAAAATGTTAAATATTTATATATTATAATATTTTGCACACAATATTGATTACATATTACAACTTAAAAATGTATCTACCATATATGCATGTATATATATAAATATATGTTTGACTGTATTATTAGTTATCAGAGTAAATAATGTTCCAGCATCTAATTTACTTTAAATTCTATATTCTTGTTCACTATGTCTTTATTTTGAAATAAAAGACAACTGGAATCTCAATTAAACAACCATCACACTGGACTGATAAAAGAAAATGGTTAAATCAAACAAATTACACTTAATCACAAGACACATGTAGTAAGTGTTATGTATATATAATATACACACTTTGATATACAAGTTATTCTGATGAAATCTCAGATAAATTCCAATCACAGTTTGGTATTTTTTCTCAGAAGAAAAAATATCTATGTAACAGTTTCTGTATTTATTTCACTCATTCGTAACCATCTTTAGAACCAACAAAATATACTTTGAATCTCTGTTGCTTCAATCTGCTGTGCTTACATAATATTTTAAACAAACTATGTCTTATGTACACATTTTGTTTTATTTAAATTCCATTTAAATTTGTATTTTCACATAACTTTCATAATCGCTCTGAAGCTACAATATTATCAGACACATTGTTTTGCCTAATAGCAGCTTTTTTAATAGACCTTTCCAGGTTCATTCTGTGTCCAACCTGTGTCACGCCAAGATCTATATAATTATTTCTCGATAATGCTACCAATTTTTTTCCATCAATACAATTACGCTGAAAGCTTGGTTTGTATTGGCTCATACTCAAACTATCCAACCAATCAAGAACATCATTACATAACCACTCATCAACTGGTTTGTCATTATAAGTTTTACCAGTTTTCTTAAATTTTCCATTATCATTTCCAAATTCTGGAGGCGGAGGTATCACAGAAGAATCTCCGTCATCAAAACCTGGTGGAGGCGGAGCTATAACATCATCATATCCATTGCCCCGCCCATCACCTGACAATGATGACAGTGTTGACAGAGAAGAAACAAGACTTGCTGTGTCTGGAGAAAATGCTGGACTATGTTGTTGACTCATGTCAGTCCCACTGTCAGAAGAAAAATTTGCTGGTGGGGGAATAATCTCTAATTGCACAACTGTATTTTCTATATTTCCCCCATCTCTAAATCCTGGTGGAGGTGGAGGAATATTGTTTAAATCTGCTGTAGTACCATTTTTATCTATATCACCATTCATATTAGTAACAGCCTTCACTTTAACTAAACCTTGTGGTGACTGAAATTCTGTGTATGCCTGATCACCACTTTTTGTTAATTTAGGTTTTGCTGAAACAGGAGGTGATTTATCTTTATTATTCACAGGCTTTATTTCTATTGTTTTTGTTTGTAATTTCTCTTTTTCTGGTGATGATGATTTTGATTCTGAAGATTTCTGTTTTCGTTGCAACCACTCTTGTCTTCTTTTCTCTGCTAATGCAATGTAATCCGATTGTCCATTAACATTTTTCTCATTGTTCACTTTTTCTGAGTTTTCTAATGTTCTATTTTCTGCATTGATCTTACTATCAGATTTAACAACTCCTAATGGAGTTGCTTTCTCAAGAGGTGTTGGTTTAATTTTCAAACTTTCCTGCGTATTAACTTTGGCACTGTTTGTAACACTTGTTTGTTTTGAAAGAGGTTTTGGAGTGAATTTTGGTTTGATTTCACTAAGCCCAGTAACATTTACTGGCTTCACTTTAAAACTGAATTCTTCTTTTGTTGCAGCTTCCTTTGTAGCTGGTCCTGTTTTGTTTACAATTGACTGAACTTTAAAATTGAGTTTATTTTGAGAAATACCATTAGCATTGTTATTTGTTTTTGTATCTGTCTCTTTCTTGGTACTTTTTGCCCCAGCCAACTGGAATCTTGCTGCTTGAAGTTTCTTTGTTTTTTGCAATCTACTTTCAATATCATCAATCACAGACGATTCTGACTGCTGTTCAAGCTTTTCCCGTCTTTTAGCCACTGCCGCCAAGATGGCAGCTTGATTTGAGTCTTTAATGTTTGCAGGTGAAGAAGATTTAGGTTTCTGTTCTGTCATTTTGATACCCTCATTCTGCATACGCTCTTGCCTCTTTGCAACTGCAGCTGCAATAGCATCTGTTGGAACTGTAACTGGAGCAATGTAGTCTGCTTTCACAACAGATTTACTCTTAATGATCTGGTCATAACTTGGTGCTGGGGGAGGAGGTGGTGGTGGAGGAGGAGGTGGAGCCGCTGCTGCTTCTTGAGATGGTATTTGTCTTGGTGAAGGTGTGGTTTCAAAATCTGGAGGTGGCGTTTCTGGAAGGGGTGGAGCCTCAGATTCTTCAATATCTTGTTGCCTTTGCAGAAGTTGCACATTCACCTCTGCTTTTACTGTCATTACCTGTGATGACTGAGTAGGAGGAGCAGGAGCAGCTGACTTTCTCTGTTTTGGAGATTGTGATCCTGGTGCTGGTGGAACTGGTGCAGGGCCATCTGGTCGAGGTGGAATTACAAAACCTTGTGGTTGTGCACTGAATTTCTCTTCTGAAGGAATAGATGTGTGAATTGTGTACCTTTTAGTCTGAGGCGGTGCAACAGTGCTTTTTTCACCAACAGAAATCACTGTAACAGACTGTTTCTTTGGATCACGGATTCTAACCGGAGAATTTGGTTTCTCCTCACCACTGTCACTATCATAATCAGGTTCTGGTTCATATAAACTAGAGTTTCTCTTTTTTAGTTTTTCTTTCCCTTCTGCTGTTATCAGAAGTTTTGCATTAGGATGTTTCTTTAAAAATCCTGCAGCATGGTCCAGAACTTTATCCTCTGCAAATGATACATTTTGTTTATCAGATTCTTTGACCAAGACAGCACCTGCACTTGGTGTGCGCTGGTGACCTGATTTGTGTCCTGACCCTGCAGATGGCTCTTCACTCAATTTGGCTGAAGCACCTGGTCTAAAGCTTGACTCATACGGTGAATCAGGACTATCAACCTTATTTGTAAGAACTTTAACACTTGCATAAGGTGACTGTTTACTTGTGTTTATAGTTACCACCTCACTTGAGGACGAATCTCCTGACTCACTTTTTGGTGGTTTTGGTGCCTTCTTCTTTGGAGAGTTTGTCTCCTCAGGGGGAGGGGGTGGAGGACCTTTAGGTCTCATCTGGACCCCAGTTGGAGAAGATGGCACATTTCCTACTTGAACAGTATACACATTTTTCTGTTCACTGGATTTCTTATCAGGAACTGTTGGGGTTGCATAGATTATGTTTTTCCGCAGTTTAGATTCATTTTCTAATAAATCTGGTGTGCTTCTTGATTTTGATTTCTCAAGTTTACCATCAATTCCTATGTTATCCATATCAACACATGACACACGCTTAGCTGCAGTTCTACTTCGTATTGAAGCTGTCTTTTTTTCTTCAGCCTCTTTCTGACTCTGAATAGCCTCATCAAGTTTGTCTAAAATAGAAAAAAGAAATTAACAATACATTGTTATCAAAACTGCTCCTTCAGTCAATATCTTTCTTTGGTGCAGGAATTAAATTAGGGAGAAATAAGTTAAAGATCTACTGCAAGTGTTAATAATATCAGCTAGTTTAGAAATATACATATGAAAATGGTCTCTGTTTTATGTAAGAACATCCAACTGTTACCATTACAATGCTAAATTTGTGTTATGAACTTGTCCTCCTCTGAATTTAAAATTATCCATTGTCAATTTATGTTACTATAAAAATACACAAATGTGCCAACAATTAAAAGCCTGGATAGACAATAATCTCCAAACAAATGAAGCATCAGCATTTGATATTAATATATATTCTATTTTTTTGTTGGTTGGGTTTTAAGTCACACAAACACTGCACTAGTCATATGGCCACCTTCTAGCTTTACTGGTGGAGGAAGACGTCAAATGCCCCCAGTTTATCATTGCTATGATACAAAAAGTACAACATTTCTTCACTGATCAATGTTTACAAATGTTTCATGTTAAAACTGCTGGGATGAGTATCTTAATATTGGATACTGATTGTTTCACTAGAAATGTCAAGTTTTTTATACTGCAAATCTCATTACAATACAAATATGACTGTAATATTGAAACAAACAGCAATTTAAGTTGTTATATTGATTATTGATGTTGGGAACAGCTTATTGCACAATTCCTGTAATAGAAGAAATGTCAGGTGATAAGAGTGGGGAAGTCATATCATTTTCAACTCGGAAAACATTTCACTCCAGGACATTTACTGAATCATCTCCCCTTATACAGAATATCTAGTTAATTATGATGGATTATTTTGTTCAATATATCCTAGTTTATAATTTGAAAACCATTCCATGCAGATTTTTGTAAAACAGCTTGATATCCTGTTTTTAATAATAACATATATGCATTTCAAGATTTTAGTTTGAACTAAACTTAACAGGATAATATTGCCACAAAATTTGTTTTCAAGTGAAATTTGAAGTTTCCAATTTAAAACTAATGTTTATATAGTTTCAAAATGGAAGTTGTAAGTAGAAACAAAACTTTTTTGAAAAGTAAGTTATGTTAGCACTGCTGGCAATAATTTGTTGAATACTAAAATCTATTTATTTCTTTTATACCACAATCCATAAAACTAAGAAATGAACAGTTTCCAATTCAAATATGGACAAGTCCATTTGTCATCTTTAGCAAGTTTTGGTCTAAATACAGCTCAACCATATATATTCTTTTGACAAATCTTATTCAAACCTAGTGAGATTATATGCATGATTTCAAAAATATTAAGCTGTGATAACATTACACAAATTTTCACATAATTGGACAGGTATACAGATGAAAGAGATAATTCAAGTGCTGTAAAGCAATTCTTATTCATCTAGAACCAATTTCTTTAATTCTTTTTATCTTTTTTATTGGGGGTGGGGGAGGTGGTTGAGGGTGGATTGTACACAAGATGACTGGGTATACACACATGAAAGATGCAATGTACCACATAAATAGTCATTACTGGATATTTTAACCCTTTCATTGTTGTCCTGTCTTGATTTATGTCAGCCTATTAGTAGTTAAAGGGATCTCAGTATCAAAATACTTAATTTGAGCAGACAATAGTATGAATGTAGATGGGTTTTAAGTCACAAGGACAGGTTAACTGGTGACTTTTCAGCTTTTGCTGGTGAAGGAAGATCTCAGGTGCTCCTCTTTATTTTAGGCATGAGTGAGCATCTGAAGTCTACATCCACCAGAAGAACCACTGAAATTCCATAAGCACAGGATAGCTTTCTCAAATGAAAGAATTCAAAGTCCCTGGCAGGATTAAAACCCCAGTGGTGAAAGGAAAGTTTGAAGTCAACAACCTTAGCTCATGGATGACTAGTAGCAAAAGTATACAAATGTGCTCACTCTATAAACCCATATATATATATATATATATTAAAACGTGATAAATGTTCCTTGTGCAGTGTTCAAATAGATAAAATTATAATGTTTAAGAAATAACAAACTCTATGTAAATTAGGTAGCTTTCAATGCTTTCTTCGCATATCTTCAGCAGAAACTTTAATCTATTAAAGTTTCGGCTGAAGATATGCGAAGAAAGCATTGAAAGCGCTACCGAATTTACATAGAGTTTGTTATTTCTTAAACATTATAATTTTTATCTATATATATATATATATATATATATATATATATATACATACGTGTAAATATATATATATGTATATATATATATATATATATATATATATAAAAAGAAGTTCGATTCCTTGTGTGGATCTCATGTATAAAAAAAGTATGTTTTGGGAAATGCAGAGTACAAAGTTCTTTAATTTTTAGTTTATATAGTTTAGACTATACGTTACTGTCTGAAGATATGTAGAAACATTTGAAAGCGCTAACAGAAATAAACGTATAAAAAATTAAAGAACTTTGTACTCTGCATTTCCCAAAACATACTTTTTATATATATATGCATATAAATATGCAATGGCTATGTTTTCAGGACTAGTCTGCTAGGCGCTGTGCCGTAATTGGTCTGGCATTTGGTGGTATGTGTGTATTATTTCTGCTTGTATGTGAATCATGCAGTTGTCTGGTCAAGCTACACAGAAATATGCACAGAATGTCCTGGTTCAATACTGGTGGCATGACAGAAAGTTTACTTATATGGGGCATTAAGATGTATACAATATTTTGAAGACCTACCCATAGCAGCCATTTCATCACTGATTGCTTGACCTTCTGACCTTGACATTGACAAGGAAGTCCTTGGGTCTCTTTGTGGAGGGGCAGGAGCTGAAAATACAGATATTCAAACCTAGACGTTAATAACTAAACTGTACTTTATCAACTAAGTTAAATGCATTACATCTTTAAATGCTGAACCAAACCCACATTCAGAAAGCGATCTAGCAAAAATATGATCAGATTATTTGAGCATTCAGCAATTAACAATTATATTTTCCATGGACATCAAACTCATTTATTGACAGTCTTATATTTGAGTATTTTATTGTATCAAGAAATACAAGATTTGGAAGAATTAAGGTCAGACTATAAAAACTTTCTATTTCTGTACTGACAACTTACCTTTCTTTTTCCTATTCGGCATTGTCAATGATTTGTCTTGATGAACAAACCAGTCCTGTGACCTACTGGCTGGTTTCACAGTAACAACTTTCATGGCTAGTGTGTCACCAGTGCTGCGAATCAAGTGAACAACACGATCATGTGATGCTCGCACAACATTCTCTCCATTGATCTGAAATTGGTTATTTTTAGAAATTCAAATTATCTTCAAATTAACAATGGTTCTTAATTTAGTTATGAGGTATAACACTATAAAGTTTTAAAATCTGAGTAGCCTGGACTGCTTAGATCCTGAAGGCATAACTTAGTCATTACAACCACTAGCTAAACTAACTTAAACCTGCAAAAAGAAGTTTTTTCAAATATTTATCTGTGCTTAAAATTCAATTTATAAAAAAAAGACTTCTAAATTTGGGCATTCAATATTTTTACATGTACAATGTACCGGTAATATATGTAAATACTTATTACATATCAAAAATGCATTAAACAGGTGTAAATACTTAATGATGTGCTAATATAACTAACTCTATTTGCAATTCAAGGAAGTAAAAACAGGAACAGTTTTTATCTTTATATATGTTGAACTTCCCAAAAAATGTTGAATTCACATTTTTACTTCAATGACCGACTTCAATTTGATAAAGTTTGATACAAAATGCTTTATTATAAGATAAAATGGTCCAAGTACCAAAGTATGTGTCAAAAATAAACAGTAGCACATATCTATAAGGCTCAAACGCAGTTTAATTTCATATCTCTAACCATGAGCAATCTAAGTTTTAGTTATTGAGGACTTATCAATGTGACCTATAAAAGTTGGCAATAAACCAAACTAAGGTATGTCCCTCCCTGTATGTAAATATAATAAAGTTGAAGACACAAGCTTTATTGTATATCAATTAAACTGTCCATACTTTATATGGTTCATCTCAAATATAATCCAATCTTAATGTAATACAGTAAACTGCATCAATTTTAGTATTAACAGCATTATACAAAATGTAAATTTGAACAAGATTGCGAATTAATTAAAAATAGAAACTGTATATAGAATATAGGACAATATTGTGTTTTACAAAAGAAATATAGATATATTATGTATTTGAATAAAGCTTATCTGTTTTTCATTGCAGACATTTTGACAACAGACATTCTGATACAATAAAATAATGTCATTGAAAACAACAACTTAAATCAAGGAAAAACCCTATTCCTTACAATAAGAACATTATATTTCACTGACATAATGTTTCATTTAAATGACTTTATGATAGTTGAAAGATATATCAATAAATAATCTCTTTAAAATATAAGAAAAAATTTGAAAATTATACCTCTAATATAAAGTCACCTCCTTTGAGTCCAGCTCTGTCGGATACACTTCCTGGATCCACGCTATCCAGGTACTGTAAGGCAGGAAATTCTGCTGTAGGTCTGAAGTCCAATTCTCCACTTGGCTTGAGTTGAGCTGAAAATAAATAAAAAAAATATTGTATATTAGTATGAGTCTTAAAAAATATTTACAATAATAGTATGTTTTGCATTTCATAAGAAACACATTTATATATGAAACCAATTTATTATAAGTTAAAGTAATCAAGACTTAGGGAAACTAAAATAATGTTGGCAAATTTTTCAAAGATAAGCTAATTTTATTTTTCAGATAACAAGAACATTAGAAGTTTGTGATTAATGTGTGACTATATATGTATATATGACATCAATAGCAACAAGTAAGTGTATGCTTCAAAGTACCTGAACTGAACGGTTCAAACGTTACACTGACCCCTGTCACCCCGGCCCTAGAATTCCGGTCCTGCTGAACTATGTTACCCATACTAAAATCCTAGCTTCTAACTGTTAATAACTTCCCAAATCAAGTATTTTAAGATAAAATGTTACATTATTGTTAAGAAAACAACCATTTTTCTTGCATTCTTATGTTCTAATCTTTTAAGCAGGCTTAGATTCTATGATAGGGTATTATTTACATGATTGAAGATTCTTTATAATTAACAGTTTTCATCATATTTTCAGTAAATGATTGTGGACAAAATATGTAGTACAGGTTGAAAAAAATATTTTTCTTCTTAGCTTTACTAGTTTTTTTCTTTATTATAAAATGACAGAAATACATTCATTAATAATATTAAGTTACTTGTCCACAGTCTGAACATTATATGGATTTATAACATATGCATGCATTTTTTGAAGGGCATCTCTGAAGTGTATTAAGATTTCTCACAGAACTTTGATTAAAAATTGTTCAATCACTCTCTGTTAAAATGGACTGATTTACAACATCTTTGCTTAAATAAATTAGTTTGTGATGCTAATTGAAAGGTTAATATATCAGCTGTAAGGTTATGCTGTAGCAATTTCAAGATACCAAAATGAATAATTTAGTAGATGACTATAGGAGAATTGATGGACAACATGATGTATGAACTGGTCAGACAAAGATTTGGACATAGTCATCTAAACTGACTTCATATATCAATCAGCACAATACAAAATAATGAAACTGTTCCATTAATCTGATAGAAGAGATGCAAGATGAGATGTTGCATAGAAACTTAACCAATACATAAACTTTTGTCTATCTGCATAATACAAATCACTTTCAAATATCATTAGGACATTGCCTGTTTTACATGTAATATAAATTATCCATTACATATTTATTTTTATCACATAAAATAAATATACAAAACACTGATAAATTCAACTCCCCTTTAATTCGCCAAAATTGCCAATGTTCAGTTGAGGAAAAGTTAGAAAGTACATTCTTGATTAACAAATGAAAGTACAGTAAAACTGTCTGATAGTGGCTGGTCAGTGACAGACTGGACATTGTGATTGTTATTTTCTCACCATATCATAGCAAGACTGACAGCAAGGTGACTCTATGATATATTACCTTTGTGTACAGTAATACACCTTGATCTTTATTGTGTTGCTTTAGTTACATTTACAATAAAAACACAGGTGATAATTCAACTTAAAAATATTTTTAAAAGAAACATGTCCATAGACACAGATACTCCTATATTTCACTGTTTAGTCAGTGGTTCACATTTCACTGTTCTTTCAGTGGTTCACATTTCACTGTTCTGACAGTGGTTAACATTTCACTGTTCTGTCAGTGGTTAACATTTCACTGTTTTGTCAGTGGTTAACATTTCACTGTTCTGTCAGTGGTTTAAACATTTCACTGTTCTGTCAGTGGTTAACATTTCACTGTCCTGTCAGTGGTTAACATTTCACTGTCCTGTCAGTGGTTAACATTTCACTGTCCTGTCAGTGGTTCACATTTCACTGTCCTGACAGTGGTTAACATTTCACTGTCCTGTCAGTGGTTCACATTTCACTGTCCTGACAGTGGTTAACATTTCACTGTCCTGTCAGTGGTTCACATTTCACTGTCCTGTCAGTGGTTAACATTTCACTGTCCTGTCAGCGGTTCACATTTCACTGTCCTGTCAGTGGTTCACATTTCACTGTCCTGTCAGCGGTGAACATTTCACTGTTCTGTCAGTGGTTAACATTTCACTGTTCTGTCAGTGGTTTAAACATTACACTGTTCTGTCAGTGGTTTAAACATTACACTGTTCTGTCAGTGGTTTAAACATTTCACTGTTCTGCCAGTGGTTGACATTTCACTGTTCTGCCAGTGGTTGACATTTCACTGTTCTGTCAGTGGTTGACATTTCACTGTTCTGTCAGTGGTTGACATTTCACTGTTTTGTCAGTGGTTGACATTTCACTGTTCTGTCAGTGGTTGACATTTCACTGTTTTGTCAGTGGTTGACATTTCACTGCTTTGTCAGTGGTTGACATTTCACTGTTTTGTCAGTGGTTGACATTTCACTGTTTTGTCAGTGGTTAACATTTCACTGTTCTGTCAGTGGTTAACATTTCACTGTTCTGTCAGTGGTTCACATTTCACTGTTTTGTCAGTGGTTAGACAGAAAGCAAGACAAGGTAACAGAGGGATTGATGAACAATAGTAAATGTACATCCCCATTCCCCAAGTTACGGGGCATAATAAATATTGCATAACAGTAATATTAACCTTTGTTTTTATTTCTGTAGGTTAAATTCATAGAATAAAAAAGTTCATATATTGTGTACAATTATAACAATATTGTTGTACCTGAAGTTACAAAATGATCATCCTCTAAGTTACTACACCTACGAAAGCAACTGTCAACAGATTTACTCCTTCTACCATGCTCCCTGAATATATTCATTTTTTTAACTTTCCTCCTTAATCTATTCATATCTATAATATGTTGCTAAATTCTTCAATTACTGATTAAATTTGTTAACACAGCACATTTAAGTTACATTCATTCATTGAAAAATTAATCCTGAAAAAGCACACAAATATCCTTGCATTGTACTAATTTCATTAAACTAGCTAGCTGTCAATGGCTACTTGTTGGATACTATTAAATTAAACAGGTAAATTAAAATTATTGTTACAATTAAAGAATGCTTAAGTCTTTAAATAGTAAATGTGATTTGTGTGAGAATAAGTCAGATATATGGTTTGGTGGCAGCTGGTATTATATTTTACATCTTTTTACATCAAATAAACGAGTCCAGACCAATCAATGAATCCAAGCTGATGCCGTGTATGATAAATTTATCAATCATATACTGTATTTCAGACCAGTTTTACCCATAATTATGTGAAATGAAACAAAATTTATAATGACCATTTTAATCCATGTGAGAAAGTGGTTGGAACCCTTAAAAATGTGTTTTACAGGTAATAAGTCTAAAGCTTATTGTAAAGTTAAATGTAAATAACTTAAGATGAATATATTTAATGAATGGACAGTTTATTGTCAAATACACTGACAGATCACAATGTCAAAAGGAAGAGACATCAAAGTAGAATGTAAAAGTGTAGGAATTAAATGTGTCTGAATATAGATAGACCATATGTAGCTGTCTCAACATAGTAATACAGTCAATTTGATCACTTTGATACTTTCTTTATCTATATATTACCTAGTCGTTTATTATGTTTAGTTATTTTAACCCTTAACCTGCTGGCATCATACTGACCAGTGCAGACCATACTGACCAGTGCAGACCAAGATCAACTGGTATTCTCTGCTGTTTGATCATGGTCTGCACTTTTCACTTTATAGTAAGTTTTCTGATCATTAATATCTAAACTGTCAGGTCAATAACTCAAAAATTTTACAAAATATAATTTTAATTGAAACCAAACCTATCACTGAAGGTGATTAATACCCCCACCAGCAACTTTGACATTTTGAAAAATAAGTAGTCTGAACAAATTTGAACAAAAACTATCAACTGTGTACAAAGAAATATTTCAATTTATTGTAATCCTAACTGGGGTCTCCAAATAAGCTTGCTATACAAGTTTGATTACAATAGAAACCATTTTTCTATTTTTAATAACGGTGACCTTGATCTTGACCCCAGGGGGTCCAAATGCAATACCAGGCGGGATCTTCATATAAGCTTCCTATACACCAAGTTTGATAACAATATCCCATTCCTAACTCTAGTTATTGTCAAGAAACCATTTTTCTATTTTTAGTAACGGTGACCTTGACCTAGATCCAAGGGGGTCCAAATGCTATACCAACCCAGGTCTTCATATAAACTTGCTATACACCAAGTTTGATAACAATATCTCATTCTTAACTCTAGTTGTTATTGCCCAGAAACCTTTTTTCTATTTGTAGTAATGGTGACCTTAACCTTGACCCCAGGGGCCCAAATGCAATACCAACCCAGGTCTTCATATAAGCTTGCTATACGCCAAGTTTTATAACAATATCTCATCCCTAACTCAAGTTATTGTCCGGAAACCATTTTTCTATTTTTAGTAATGGTGACCTTGACCCCAGGGGGTCCAAATGCAATACCAACTGGAGTCTCCACATAAGGTTGCTATATGAGTGGCGGCATGGCCGAGTGGTTAATGCGTCGGACTAGTAATCTTATGATCGCTAGCCGTATGGGTTCAAACCCCGTCAGGGGTAAGTCGTTGTTTCCTTGAGCAAGAAACTTTACACTCATTGCTCAGTACCGGTTGGTTCCAGGAACGGATTCGAAAGTGTGTCTATAAGCTTATAGCTTCCTTCACAATCAAACTAAAATAAATTCTGTATAAACCAAGGTTGCTATATACCAAGTTTGATTACAATACCTCATTCCAAACTCTAGTTATAGTCCAGAAACCATGATGTGGACCAACCGACCGACGGACTGACCAACCAACTGATAGACCAACCGAAAAGCTGACTCCTATATACCCCCCTACTTAACTTTGTTTGTGGGGGTATAATTAATTTTTATAAACACTGCATTTCTCTTTGATGAAAGGCCTTGTTATACTTCTCCATTTTACTATTATTCCTATTCAAACAAGCAATTATCATAGTATTGCGAGCAATCCATAAGTCCCCTACCGGTAAGAGCCCAATCAACATTCTGAAGGGCCATTGGCCATTCACTTAGGTTCCTATTTTAAGTAAATTTGTTGAAAAAGTTCTTGAAAAGTGATCACAGGAAACAGTTTTTATGTACAGACAGATAGACTGAAGGACACTCTAAAGTTATTTTTTAAACATCCCTGTTATCAAAATGTAACATTTTTTTAAATCCTATCATGATTGAAGAAGTTGGAGTAAAAATTACCAATTTCTCAAAAAAAAGTCTAAGTTCAAAAGGGGCATAATTCTGGAAATAGTCTTGCTAGAGTATTGAACACTCACAAATGTTGAGTGACAACAAGAAACATTTATATGAAGTTTGAAGTAGATACATTCAGAAAAAGAAGTTATTAAAAAAAAAAACAATGTTTTCTTCATGAAAATTTTAAGTTCAAGGGAGGTAATTCTGATAAATTTTGTGCTAGAGTTGTAAACCTTGTCACATATGATGTGGTTGATGACAATCAACTTATATTTAAAGTTTGAAGAAAAAACCTTAAGAAATAAAGAACTTATAGTGAAAAAACTTAAAAACTAGAATCAGAAATCTTGAAATTCAGTCTATTTGTTGCCATAGCAACCAGAATTTTCAACATAGGAAGATAAAAAAGAATGTGCATAATTTCCATACTGCCATCTACCCATATGTCAAGTTTCATAAACATATTTTCAGTACTTTTTGTGTTATCACTGGATCCAGGTTATGTGTAAAATTTGCCATATTTTCAGTCTATTTGTTGCCATAGCAACCAGAATTTTCAACATAGGAAGAAAAGAAAAAGACGTGCATAATCTCCATACTGCCATCTATCCATATATCAAGTTTCATAAAAATATTTTCAGTACTTCTTGCGTTATCGCGGGATCCAGGTTATGTGTAAAATTTCCCATATTTTCAGTCTATTTGTTGCCATAGCAACCAGAATTTTCAACATAGGAAGAAAAGAAAAAGACGTGCATAATCTCCATACTGCCATCTATCCATATATCAAGTTTCATTAAAATATTTTCAGTACTTTTTGCGTTATCGCGGGATCCAGTTTTGTGGACGGACGGACTGACGGACGGACAGACGGACTGACGGACGGACGGACGGACAGACGGACAGACGGACGGAGGGTAAACCTAAAGTCCCCTCCGGTAAACCGGTAGGGGACTAATTATATTTTATTTGTTTTTCAGATTTTAAGCTTAAATGGTAATGTAACAGCATTAATGGCAAGATGCCTCTCCCTGTATCATAACTGCATCACATGACAGCATAATATAGTAATATTAAAGTGTTTTTTTAAAAGCCCCTAAACAATTGCCTATTTTTTTACATGACTCTAGTAACAATTTTCTTTCTATATTTACATGGTCAACGCCTTTTTGTAAATGAGGTCACATGATGAACATACTTGACTATACTGGCTAGAGGGAATTCCGTCATGAACTTATCATGTAAAACAATGTTTTAACCTTGTAAAATATGTGTAAAATCTTGACCTGAATAATCCTATGATGTAACAAACATTTATATTGTTCATGAGGTAATCAAAAAGGCATAGACAACAAAAAGACATTTCCATTACTGAGAAACTTTTTGAAAATTGCTTCTTTAGAAATTTTGAGTCAAATGACAGATTAATGAAGTTTTTAAGACTTTCTAATCAAGCCCGCAAGCTGTCATATACCAACTTTTTTTCCTTAAAATGTTTCTATTATTATACTCTAACAACATGCCAAGTTTATAGAAATTCTATTGAACAGTTTTAATTTTGCCTATTAGTCTTTATGAAAATTCCTGAAAATGTCTTTAAACAGGTTAAGGATTTAAGACCAATACTTACATTTAGCACCACGTAGCACAAATCCATATCCCTCACTTGCCCTCTGTAACACAACTGTTCTTGGACCATAGTCACTGAAATATATATTTGTAATATTGTAACATAAAAATACAAATCTCTTTCTTAATGGTATTTTAGTTACAGCTAATTTATGAGTGTAGACAAACAAAAATTTTAAAATAATTTTAAATTAAGACTAGAAATATTTCTATAGGACTGAGATGCCCCTACATACCACTGTTAGTCAATGTACTGAAGGAAAGCAGGACGAACATGGGCAAATCTCAAAACATTGACAATGTTTCATGCATTATTTGCAACTTGCAAATATGTAGGTCCAAAACAGTTTCACATTTTTGTCAAAAACAAAACAATATTCAAGCCTAACAGTTGGGTCAAAAGAAATGAATTATTTATATATATAAAATGATTAATAAGTTCAAATGAAAACACAAAAGAATAATGACTGTGATCACTAATAATAAAATAGCAAATATGTCATTGTTCAATATAAGAAAGCAGTTATGAAGGTATTACATGATAATTTGGCATGAATCACTATAACATGTATCATTTGGTTTAATCAAAATATTCATTTTAATGTCATTTGTTTAGCTCTACAGTGACAAACGAAGATTTATGATCAATCTTCTCAGCACTAAAGAGCTGTAACAAACAGAACTAGCAACCTTTGGTAAACTATATTGACAATTACCTCAATTGTAATAATTCTACATTTCTAATGCATACTCAAATAGACACCTCACAAGTATTTATAAATATAAATGCAGATACAAGTCAATTTTAACGCCCTCAGAAATGCTTTTATTTCATTTCTACCAAGCTTTTTATTTTTGGTATATACTTTTATAATTTTCAAAAATTTACTCATTGACTCGTCTTTTTCTTCTATTGCCTTTTGGCAATAAGTATAATACTACAATTATAGTAAATAAGTCAAAATACTACTTTGTTTTTATTTTGTTACTTTTGTGACAAATTATTTCACAATTAGAGCTACTTTTTACATAACAAGCATCTAACATGCTCTAATACCATTATTTTCAGGAAGTGGCTAGTCGTATGGGTCAGTACTGCTAGCCAAACATGTGTCAAGTACTGTGATGATCTAGCCAATACACACTGTTGAGGATAGCCGTACAGCATTTTATCAGTAACAAATAAATGCAATGATGAAGTCAATAACTTGCATGTCTTAAATTACATTTTCACAAAGAGTGATGTCCGCAATTGCATAAGCACGCTATCGGGTCAATCACAGACTGTGCCTCATCATTAAAAGAAATTTTCAATGCTCACTAAAAGTGATTAAGATAAAAATTTTATTACAAATGTATTACATCTAAATTGTCCATAGAAATTATTCAATAATGTTTCAGTTTATTTCACTTCTGTATTTTTTAATTATTAAAATCTGTGATTTTCAGAGGAAAAAACTTCCGTTCATCAAACGCCAAAATTAATAAAATCTTTGTTTAGAAACATAAGTTTGCATAATCATTATTATTTTAGGTTAGATATTTTAAAAATGTCGTACAACTAGCCTCAACAGTGCGTATAGACTAGTTGTTTGACTGACTTGCATACGCTAGCAATACAACCCCATACTGCTAAACTGACTGCCTTATAAAATTAATGTTTGCCCTTTCTAAGAATATATAAATCTATTCGTTTCTGAGGCATAATGTGCCTTTAACTTAAAGCATAACTAAAACCCATAATGTAACAACACTGCATTTTCAATCATTTATTTCTTAAAATACAACAACCTAAACTTGCCTTTTTTCAACATTGCTAGCATTTTCTGATTTCTTGCTTGTTGTAAGTGAAAACTTGCCTTGCACTTTTCTTGACAAAATTCTTTTAATTGTAGATGGCATTTTTTCTAACATAAAATTTCAGAATCACAAAATGTTTTTAATCAAGCACTGCATATTTTGTATTTGAACACTGAAGTATAATATTATCCATACAGAAATAAATTTTCTATTTTCACAATATAGAATTCAAAATAATCCTTGCAGCACAACAATGAACTCTCTAACATAACATCATTAATTATCAATTCAAGTTAAAAAAAACCCTGCACACTGCAGAGAATGGTCAATGAGTTATTTCTTCAAGTTATGACATCCTACTTAAAGAAAAGAACCATTCTGATTGACGTTGATTTGACAAATAAAACCATCATTAACATTTTTCAACTTGCCAGATAAATTCTAAACAATGAAATTTCCCAACCGTGAAACATCTTTAAAACAGGGCCTAAGGGCCACCAAAAGGTTTTTTTTGAAAGCATTTGTGTTCTTCACACCTTCTTTTGAACAGATTTATTGATAACAAGACAAAAAAAAATTAAATTCACAGTTATATGACATATGATCTAACAACAACCTGTAATCATTAATAAACAAGTTAAACAATGCAAATATTATTTTCTACAAAAGATTTAAAACAAAACAGAACAAGTTTTTTCCAATAGATCAATATTACTTACATCAATTTCATGAGATTTTACAGGATTTTAGTCAGACAAATTGAAGAATTAATTTTTGCAATGGTAATGATTTGACTTTGCCATCAGCACACAGATATACTCTATAATATATACAGCTGTTAGTTGCTCTTGTTTGAGCATGTGTGATTATCCTCACAACTACAGATGATTCCAAATTCCCAACATTAAAGCAAATTTAATATATTAATGGTTAAGCAAAAGAATGCACTTACTATCTGATGGTGTTGAAATAATATGTCCTTTTAGTTACAGTCTGTTTTTTATTTACATTTCTTGTAGCTTTATTATATCTTTTTGACATCTTAAACCTAACAAAACAAACTTGAAAATCTTTTAAATTAACCTGTTCTTTATCTCAAAATGAACATTGTCTTGTTTATTAAACAAAAAGCATCATTGTAGGCCTCTGTTTTTGTGATAATTTCAACACAGAGGTAAATTTAGTTTTCCATGTTTTGCGCATTGATCACATGACAGGAGAAATGTTTCGGACTTTAGACACATCCGCTATCTGAATACTATCAATAATTTAACAACGTAATCGAGTTATCACCCGAAACTATCTTACCCATGTTATATATGGTAATTGATTCAATTACAAAGCTACATATATATTCTGTGACATTGACGTAAATATTTTTGATGAAGTACAAAAATATCATTAACTTTTGTGACATGCAATGACTAGGTGGACTAATGTACACATAATATTTGTAGAATTAAGTGTTACTTAACAAAGATAATGCTTCAGTAAATGAAATAAAGCAGAATTATCATCTCTTACAAGCATTATATTTGGGGAACCAGAAGTAACCAGTATAGAGCCAGACTAGCCTAGTGCATGTTCATGCAGACTAACCAGGCTCTATACTATTGGTGGACAATTTCTTAATTTTCATCTTGATATCCCCAAAACAGATAATGGATAGTCACAACTAGAAATGTGTCCATAGGACACGGGTGCCCCCCACACGCCACTGTTCTGTCAATCTTATGACTCTAGGTCAAATATTTATTGGACAACATGTGCCACAAGTTGAAAATTAAAAGTCTTTTACTATAAAGTAAAGGGCAAGAACTTAACGAAATACTGAATAAATCCACAAGCAAACCCCAAGGTGCATAAGTACACATGCTGACCAACATTCTTGTAAACTTTCAGGCCTACAAGTCAAATACTTTTTGAGCTATGCATGAACAAGTTGAAAATTGCATTAATACTACTGTAAGTCAAGGGCAAATAAAGGCCGCAATAACTTTAACAAAACTGAAAAAAAATCCACATGCAAAGTCCCAGGTGCATAGCTTCACAGTGATGTTGATCATTATTCCTGTAAAGTTCTTCACCAAAGGAACAAATAACACAACATAATGAAACACTTTTTACTAAGTCAAGGGCAATTACTCTACAAATACTGGATAAATCCACAAGCGAAACCCAAGGTGCACAACTACATATGCTGAACAACATTCACGTAAGGTGTCATGACTTTATGTCAAATCCTTTTTGAGTTAAATGCGAAACAAGTTGAAAATTGCAAATTTTTACTAAATCAAGGGCAATAACTCTACAAATACTAGATAAATCCACACAAAAATACCCAGGTGCACAACTACACATGCTGATCAACATTCCTGTAAAGTTTCATGACTCTAGGTCAAATACTTTTTGAGTTACATGCGACACAAGTTGAAATTGCAAATTTTTACTAAGTCAAGGGCAATAACTCTAAAAATACTGAATAAATCCACAGGAAAATACCCAGGTGCACAACTGCACATGCTGATCAACATTCTTGTAAAGTTTCATGATTCTAGGTCAAATCCTTTTTGAGTTACATGCGACACAAGTTGAAAATTGAAAATTTTTACTAAGTCAAGGGCAATAACTCTAAAAATGCTGAATAAATCCACAGGAAAATACCCAGGTGTGCAACTGCACATGCTGATCAACATTCCTGTAAAGTTTCATGACTCTAGGTCAAATAACTTTTTAGTTACGTGGGACACAAAAGAGAACAGACAGATGGACATACTTACGAAATGGTACTTATGTGACTTTTCCTTTGATCTTTTTAGCCATTTTTAGTCACAAAAGGCTTAAAAAAGACACACAAGTAAAAAACGGAATGAATAGGATCAAAGAGAATTTACTGTTACCTATTGTTCTCCAAGTCACACAAGTATCTCTGGGTTTGTACGGAAGGACGGACGGACAACGGTAAATCTAAATTGAAATGATTCCTACTATTTATACTGCAAACATTTTGTTAAGAAATATGTTGTGGTGAAATTCTTATTGTATCCACTAATCTGACAATTACAATTAAACAGGTCAAGGGATCAATGCATTGATTATTCTATCAATAGTGATTTTCAAAACATATTATATAGCTAGTTTCCTGCATGTATCATATGTAAATGAGAATGTTAGATTGTATATTTCTACTGTATCTTTAAACATATCTTTATTATATACACATTTAAAAAACATCTGTCACTAATTAACTTACAACACTTACACACATTTCTTGC